GGAGTCCGGGCTTTCCGCGAACCACGGCTGTGGAGCCAAAGGTGCTGGGGCGCAGGGGGCGCGCGTGGGTTCGGAAGGGCTGCTGGTGAGGGCGCCTGAGGCCACGTGGGTTTTTCCGCTCCCCTTGGAGGGTGGGCCTGGGAGGCGAAGGATGAGGTGGACGCTAGCAGAGGGAGCTGGTGGCAAGATGAGCACACAGGTCGGGGACAGTCTGGCTGGAGCATTGAAATCCCGCGAGGCTGGGGGTGGGGAGGACGGAGGAGGGGGCGGCACCCGGGGAGAGCTCAGCTCTGCTCTGCCCAGGGGCCTCACATCTACTAGCCTCCGGGCCATTGGCACCCGGAGGAGAGGCTAGGACAGCTGGTCCCTCCAGCGGGCCCAGGCTCGGTTCTGTGGGACCCTCACCCAAGATTCTTAGGGGCCACGGTGGGGCTGGCAGGGCTGGGACAGGGTCAGATGAAGGGTGTACGAAACCTGACGCATGGAAGGTGCTTCTCTGGTGGCCCGCGTGGGTGAGGGCAGGGACACCTGCTGCTAGGCCCTGAGTCCCAGTTCAGCCTGGAGCCGCGGGCTGCCCCCCACCTGGCCTCTGCCAAGGCCCCTGCTGACTTCCTTGCCTGGAAAAGGGAGCACTGACCCCCCCCTCCCTCTCCCCTGTCCCCCACTCCCAGCCGGAAACCAAGGTCCACAGGATACCTCAGCCCACTTGGGACTGCTCACTGTTTGGGGGCTACACCAGAGGGGACCAGAGAGCCCAGCCCAAGGCCCCATTATTGGCAGAAGTTTCTGTAGGACCCCTCCCCCACCAACAGGTCAGAGGTTAGAGACACGGGGGGCTGCTCACTTGGGGGGAGGACGTGGAGACTCGCCCACTCGCCTGGTGTGGTGTCTGTGAGGTCTGCAGGCAGCAGGCCACACTGCCCAGGGGCCCTCCTGTGTGTGTGCAGGACGGCCCCACGGGGGTCTCCTCTCCAGGACCCTCACGTTGCCTGGCCCCCAGCCTCTGCATCCTCCGGCACCTCAGGCCTGGCCCCGGGAAGTGGTGCCCGGGCTGGGGCCCCAGAGGAA